CGGAAGTGATCATCCGTATTGTCCAAACGACGGCCCCCCCCCTTTTTTTTCTAATTACAAATGGCTGTTGTGCTTCTTCCGGCGTTCCGTGCGCAGTATTTCCCCTAACCACGCCGGTCCAAGTTCTCTCTCACATCAGCTCAATTAATTTGTTAACAACAGCTAATTACACACTCAAGGTAAGTCCAGATATCTTCATAAAGCTCAACACTCAGTCTCTCCATCTTTTTTAATTAATTAAATCGCGGAAAAAGATGACAAGATCGTTGTTGTGTCGCACGTGGCTAAACCTAATTATTCCCAACGGTTTTGGAGGGATGGGGCAGGACAGATGTTTTCGACCCATTCAACAATGCGATTTGTATGGAATTCGGGTATTTTTTAAGCTCATGAGGAAGCCTCAATAATCTCGTAATTTTTTCACATTTCACTCTCTCAATTTTGAGGTATGGAATGAAAAACATGTAAATTTATGCATCTAGTGAATTGGCGAAACGAGCGAGTCTCCGAGTTGTTGCCGTATAATTTGGAATTGAAGGGTGATGCGAAAATCTTGTGATAACCTTTCTTGTAGAGTGAAATGACATCTTAAGAAAAGTTATTATCAAAAATTTCACAATCTCGTCTAGATTTTGAGATATTTACAAGGCTTTTACCGATTTTTTGCCGAAATTTGACTCAACTCCAAACGTATTTAAGGGTTATTTGATTCTCAAACCCATTTGACCCTCAAGTTATAGAGAATAAATAACAGAGATTCATCAGCTTCGCATTCGATAAAATAATTAATTCATCTTGTTGGCGGACAATTAATTCTCATTTTCTCGACGACTAAATTCCTGAAATTCTGCCTCGATGAAGATTACCCCATCCATTCTAAAAAATAAAATCACTATTTCAAGTCTTTCACCATGGGTAAACCGAAGAAAGCCACCCAGCCTTCAAACCCCCTCAAGGACTCAGTAAAATCCATCAAAGAGGGTCAAGTGAAGAAGCACAAGGTCCAGAAATTCAAGAAGACCCCCTCTGGCAAGGTGCCCCTCATCAACAGCAATGGAAAGGCCAATGGCAACTCCAAACCCCAGAAGAACAACAAACCAATTATCAAGGAACATCAATCCCCATCTCCCAATAAGAACAAGAATAAGAAGAAGTCCCCCAAGGGTGCTTCTCCCCAGGAGCAGCCCCAGAAGAAGAAAAATGCAGAGTTGAAGAAAAAACAAGAGCCTGAAGACGATTCTGACTCTGATGAAGACATCAACGAGGGAATTTCCTTAGCAGAGGACGTGAGCAATCTCGAGGATGATTCTGATGACTCCTCTGAGGAGGAGGAGACGCCCAACATCCTGGGGGAGAGCCTCGCTAATTCTTCGGATGAGGATGATGAGGACTTTGAGGGAAGTGATGACGATGATGATGAGGAGGAGGAGGAGGAGGTGAAGAAGGGAGTGAAGAAGTTCAAGGGAAGCAAACAGATTTCTCCTAAAGAGTCTTCAGAAGATGATGATGACGACGATGAGGATGAGGATGATGATGATGATGAAGAGGAGGAAAACGCTGACAAAAGTGTCGTCTCATCCCAGAATTCCTCACTGAACTCTTCGGCAGCTACAGATGATAGTGATGAAGACGATGATGATGATGAAGAGGACGAAGAGGATGATGATGATGATGACGATGATGATGGCCCAGGGCTGAAGGCCCTCCTGGGCGACTCTCTGGTCGACCAAGAAGACGATGAGGATTTCGATGGCGAGGCTGAGGAGGACGAGGACGACGAGGATGAGGACATGAGTGAGGACGACGAGAACGAGGAGTCTCAGGACGAGAAGAAGGTGAGCAATGACTCGTCGAGGTTCGTTCCGACAGAGGGAAATCCACGTTTGAGCGACGCGGAGAAGGCTGAGCAGGACACGAGGACAATCTTCGTTGGGAATGTGCCTAAGGATCTTGAAGAGAAGGCACTCAAGCAGACTTTCAAGAAGTTTGGGGAGATTCAGAACTTTAGGATCAGGGGGTGCATACCTGAGGATCCTAAGATGAAGCTTAAGGTGAGTTTGATTATTTATTTTTATTTATTCATTCTATTTGTTATTAATATTGAATTTTATTCATACTTTTCTATTCTTATTGTATTATTCATTATTCAATTTTCTCTGAAAAATCTCTTGAAACTTTTTAAAATATCGGAATGATCCCTTTAATTGCTGAATATTAAATTTTCTCATTTTATTTTTTTGATGAGGATTTGATTAAGAATAACTGTCTTGTGACATTTTCTCTTCAAATCCCTCATCAACGAGATGAATCAATAGTTAACAAAAATATCTTGACACTTCAACAAGTATTTTTCTATTTAACAATTATTTTTCGAAAAAATGTTCATCAACGTGTTCTCTTAAACCTACTCATTCTAAAGACAGCAAAAATGTCATAATCACGAAAAATATTAAATCAATAACGTAAAATATAACTAATCACCTTAACTTCAACGAAAATATTGAAACCACTTATTCAATTCCATTCTCTAAAATAATTAATCTCATGCTAATGAATTTTCTACAATTCCATAATTACCAAAAATAATAAATTACAATTTATAATATTAATTATATTAATGCATTATAATATTTATAATATTATAATGAATTACAATTACGTAAAATCCAACTAATCACCTTAAATTCAACGAAAATATTGAACCCATTCATTCAATTCCATTCTCTTCAAAAATTATGAAATGATACCTTACGAAAGACGATCTTTACTGCCTTTTAAAGGACAATTCAATTCTCTAGAATACTTAATCTCATGCTAATGAATTTTCTACAATTTCATAATCACCATAAACAATAAAAAAATTGTTTAAAGTCTACCTAATCACCTCACGTTGAAGGTCGCCCAGATAAAGAAGAAGTTCCACCCCCTCTCGAAGACCCTCTGCGTGTACGTCGTCTACAAATCAAAGGAGTCTGTGGACAAAGCCCTGACCTTCAACGGTCAGAAACTGGGTGGTAACTACATAAGAGTCGACAGGATCGGTCAGGAGAGGCAGGCAGACCCCAAGAAATCAGTGTTCCTTGGTAACGTACCCTGGGACATTGAGGACAACGAGCTCTGGGACATCTTCTCAAAATGCGGAAAGATTGACTACGTACGCACCATCAGGGATCGCAATACTGGATGCTGCAGGGGAATTGCTTACATAAACTTCGCTGAGGCTGATGGAGCCACCCTGGCCCTCGATCTGGACGGCACGAAGATCAGGAAACGTGATGTTCGAGTCAATCGTTACGACCCGAACAGGCCGAAGAAATCGAGTGATAAAGCTGGGAAGAAGCGTAAAAACAGTGGAAAACTCCAGGAGACATCCCCCAAGAAGCAGAAGACTGAGGTGGAGAGGGCAACTGAGAACAGTTTGAATGCACAGAAGAGGAAGGCGAAGAAGCCCAAGGGTTCGCCCAAGGCAGGCGGGGGATTCCAGGGACAGAAGGCTGAGGGGAAGAAGAAGGGAGCCAAGAAGGGGAACAAGTTCGATAAGAAGAAGAAGAATATTGCTGCCAAGTTACTTGCCCCTAAGAAGTTCAAGGGGTCCCAGTAGGGGATGCGGTTTTGCTCTGTAATTAATTAATTCGAGAGGAGGGTTTCAAGGTTCTTAATCGTGAGTGACTACAAGAGGAAAATGTCAGGCATTTTTTCAGGGAATTTTATTTCCTTGGAAAATGGCTCTTAATATTTTTTCATAGATTTATTCATTCTAAGGATAATTTCATAATTCATTAAATCAAAATAACTCAAACAATTAGGTAGAATCTAAATCATTTTCTTTCAAGTCATTCATTAATAAGTTAATTGGTCCTAAGAAGTTCGGGGGGATGAGGTTTTGGTCTCTGATTAATTAATTGAAGAGGGATTTGTCAGGGTTTTTAACCGTGAGTGACTGCAAAAGAAAAATGTCAGACTTTTTTTCAGAGAATTTAATTTCTTGGAGAAATGGCTCTTAATGTTATCCTAGAGTCTATTCTTCTTTATTCTATTCTTCTTTATAATTACCAAAAATATCTCAATAATTAATGATTTTAGAACAAAAAATGAACAGTTTTTTAAATTAAATTCTCCACAAAAATATCTGACTTTTCCAAAAACCACTAAAAACCAAAATAACTTTGATAATTGATTTTTGCATTATCAAAATAGAATTTTTCGTAATGAATGTATTTGAAATTTTCTCCTGGAACGAACCACTCTTTCCTAAACTAATTTTATAATTAACAAAGACATCTGGGATTATCTCAATAATGAATGATTATAGAACAAAAACTCTACATTTTTTCTAATATTAAATTCTCCACAAAAATATCTGACGTTTTTCCAAAACCACTAAAAAATAAAATTCAACTGAATATAATTTCACAAAAAATCTCTTTCCTCGATTAATTACAGAAAATTAAATAATTCCCTTAATTAAGTACAGCCCCACGGCCACGAGTTCAATTATTGTAGCACTTGTTGACGCAAAATGTAAATAATTTTGTTTAGATAAATGAACTTCAGTAATCCCACGTTCTGAAAAAGTCATGAGTCCAAAAATCACCGTAAATATCCGTACACTGAAAGCAAAGTTCTTTAAACCGATGTGGACATCGTTAATTATCGCTTTTATTAAGACTCTTAATTTTACTCCGTAACTGTATCGGTAAGTTGACATTATTGCTGGCGCATTCCTTGCAAAATCGTTTGGTGTAGAAAATACTGCAGCCCAGGCAGACAGTTCTCCCACAGAGTGAGCAGTCACCCCCCAGAACGAGAACTTCTCCCCTATTTGGGGGACTGAAGGGGTCTTTCATGACGTAGCACTCCTCGAGGTACAGGAAATCACGTGAGAATGGAGGCTTGGTCCCCCTGTAGTCGAAATGCTCCTCCAGAGGACAGAGGGAACACTTGAAGATCCCTCCTGGCTCTTTATCACCTCCCTCAGCCTTTTTCTCCGCGATTTTATCGTCGATCGAGGCCCTGAAAGGAGAAAGAGGGAAAATACACGAGTGCAGGGGATTGAATGAAACTCCAAATAGTTTTATTATACAATTTCATTATTGGTATTTGCTATGTTCATTGTTTTGTTTCTTATCCATTAATTAAATACAATTTTCTACGTATGAACAGTTTTATTCATTTCGATTTCGTCGTTTTTGTTTTTGTTGTGGAGAGAGCAAATGTGATGAGATGCATGGGTCAAGACATGTTTTTTGATATCATGAAATCTTCCACAAGAATTTTTTTGACATTCTCCAGATTCTTTACTTGATCGGTAGAATGAGAAATTAATTATTCAGGGCTGGGTGGATTATCTTTCGTTATTTCGATTGTTTTGCCATCTTCATAATGTAAAATATATCACCATTTCCATAGGATTATGCATCACGCAGGAGTCCCTAAAAATTATCATTGTACAATAAAAAAACAGTAGAAAACAACAACATTTTCAAAGAGCGTTTTTAATAGAGATTAAGAAATAAGTCCGATAGAGAGGAAATAGTGAATGGATAATTTATCATGGTAACTAATGATCTGACAACCCTTGACTACTGTGACAAATGACGACCTAACAGCCCTTAGATACATCAAATTATTAATTTGTAATTTCCTCCCTATTAGGTTTATTTCCCAATATTATTAAAAAACGCTCGTTGAAAATGTTCAGCTTTTTTTCTACGTTTTTTTGATCGAGCGATCATAATTTTTGGAGACTCCAGGGCTATGGAAAACTGAATAGCAATTGGAGATGATTTCAGATTATCAAAATGAAAAAAAAAACCAACATCACGTTCTTAATACTTTTTTTCAATTATTCATAACTGAGAAAGAAATTGATCAATTGAGCTCAGTTTAGGCTCGTCACAAAGGGAAAGAATTGTTCTTTGTATTGAAAAAAAAAATTATTGAATTTTATCAACATTTCAACCCCTCATTAACATTTTAAAAAAAGTCAAGTGTCCGTTTTACCCCAACGTCCCCTAATCCATCTCTTCATCATCTTCATGATCTAGAAGTTTTAAATTTGTTAGAATCTCTCGTTTGAAGACATTTTCATCATCTTTAATCCCTAATTCAACTCTTAATTTCTTGAAAATGTCATTGCATTGACTGCAACCCCCACCTCATCAATTAACACTCTTCTCCTTGGGACTGTCCACAGGCCACCAGCACGGTTTCACCACCTTGACCCCGGTCCCTCCGACCCTCAACCCCCCGCCCGCAAGAGCCTCTGCAATCCTCATCAACCCTAGTCCAAACCTCCCCTCCACCCCCTTGAGTTTCCCCACAGCCTTTCCCCCCTCCCCCAAGACACTCTCGTCGACCTCAAGCCTCCCCCCAGGTACATCGTCAAAAACCAGAGGCATGAGTCTCTTCCTGACGACTCCGGTGTGATGTGTCCTCGCAGTCAGCTCCTGCCCGATGTAGCACCCCTTGTGGAAGCTCACCCCATGGAGATAATCGCAATTCACCTCCAGGGGGAGGGGTTTCCCAGGGGGAAGGTCTTCCACCCCCTCGCCAATCCCCAGACGATATCTAAATTCTTTATAACTCATCTCTTCGTCATCTTCAAGCCCTAATTTCCTCAGAACCTCTCGTTTGGACACTCTTTCATCATCTCCAACCCCCAATTCAAGTCCTAATTTCTTGAAAATGTCTCTGTTTACGACGTTTTCGTCATCTTTAATCCCCTCGAGTCCCAATTTCTCCAGAATTTCTTCTCTGGAGACACTTCCACAACCTCCAAGCCCTAATTTCCTCAGAACCTCTCGTTTGGAGATAATTTCATCATCTCCAACCCCCAATTCAAGTCCTAATTTCTTGAAAATGTCTCTGTTTACGACGTTTTCGTCATCTCTAATTCCTTCGAGTCCCAATTTCTCCAGAATTTCTTCTCTGGAGACACTTCCACAACCTCCAAGCCCTAATTTCCGCAGAACCTCTCGTTTGGAGATAATTTCATCATCTCCAACCCCCAATTCAAGTTCTAATTTCTTGAAAATGTCTCTGTTTACGACGTTTTCGTCATCTTTAATCCCTTCGAGTCCCAATTTCTCCAGAATTTCTTCTCTGGAGACACTTCCACAACCTCCAAGCCCTAATTTCCGCAGAACCTCTCGTTTGGAGATAATTTCGTCATCTCCAACCCCCAATTCAAGTCCTAATTTCTTCAAAATGTCTCTGTTTACGACGTTTTCGTTATCTTTAATCCCTTCGAGTCTCAATTTCTCCAGAATTTCTTCTCTGGAGACACTTCCATCACCTCCAAACCCCAATTTCCCCAAAATCTCTCGTTTGGAGACAATTTCATCATCTCCAACCCCCAATTCAAGTTCTAATTTCTTGAAAATGTCTCTGTTTACGAGGTTTTCGTCATCTTTAATCCCTTCGAGTCCCAATTTCTCCAGAATTTCTTCTCTGGAGACACTTCCATCACCTCCAAACCCCAATTTCCCCAAAATCTCTCCTCTGACTTTTCGTTCTCCACTTCCTTCGAGTCCCAGTCTCCTCGCGATCTCTTCTCCAGAGACATTCTCGTGACCGAGAATCCTCATCCCCAGGGAGGGTATCCTCGGGTCCTTAAAGATCATCACGTCACCGATTAACTCACTCCGAGTGTTCGTCAATGACCCACAGGGGAAGATCCTCCCCTCGAACTTCGACTTTTCCACGTTCTTCATGTTCTGGGGATCGAAATCGGTCACGAAAGCCGCCCAGACCTTCATCGACTCCCCCAGGGGCGTGATGTCGACCTTCCTCCGAATCTTGTACATCTTCAGGTGACGCTGGAGGTCCGCGGAGATGGAGGCGTCCACCTCCAGGAGGAAGACGTCCTCCTCTGGGGATTTATAAATTATCGTGTCGTAGAGGACTCGACCCTTCGTGTTCAGGAAGAGGGAGTAGATGTTGGGGATGCCCTCGGCGAAGTGGCGCATGTCGTTGGTGATGAGACCCTGGAGGAAGTCCGGGGTGTCTGGACCCCTGAGCGAAATGAGGGAACGCGTTCGCAGGTGCTCCAGCACTCGACGACGAGGGGGTGGGCTAGGGTTTGTCGAGGCGTTCCGCGTGGTTCGGTGGTGGAGGCCTCGGCGGGACGTCGTGAGGGGCCGGAGCAGAAGATTATAGAGGTGCGGTCGCTTCCTTTTTGGGGAGTTCAATGTCTTAATGATGGTTCGGGAGATGATTCGGCAGTGGGGCAAAATGGGGATCGATTTAAAAAGCTCAGGGTTTTTTTTTTAACTATTGTTACTCAGTATTTGGATATTTTTTTTGGGGGGGGGGGTTGATTTAGTTTTGACGGGAATTTTCGTCGAGTGACAGCCCCAAATTTCGAGGAATTTCATCAGTATAATTCAGTAGTGGTAAAACGGTACAAGTCAATTTTGGAGATTGACCAGTTGTCAATGAATATCTTGGAATCTAAGGGAGACAGCAAAATTTCTGTTATAACCTTTTTTGTAGAGCCGATTGAGAGCTACAACAAATGTAATTACGAAAATTTCGCTATCTCCCTCAGATTCGGAAATATTCCTTAAAAACTCATTTGGGAGATGAGTTGACTTGAACCGTTTTACCACTTCGCTACTGAACTGATGATTGTGAAGGGGAACTATGAATTTTTGTGGGATTATTTTAGGGAAATTGATGGAAATGAGGAAAATTTGAGGGAATATATTCGGATTTTTCAAATTTTGGTTGTGAATATTCATGGTTTTTGGCTTCCTGCTGCCAAAAATTTTGAAATTTCATTATTTATCTCCTTCTAAATCGAATTAAAATTGAATTCAAGGGGTTTTTACTATTTTCCAACGATATTTTTCTCATAGAATGAAATTAAATAAAAGAACAGAAAAAACTGAAAATAAAAATTGAACAAAATGGATGGAAATTGAATAAAATGAAGAGAAATGAAGAAAAAAATAAATTCGAGGAATTCCCTCAGTAATAATTGACGATTATTAATGGGAACTATAAATTTTGGTGTGATTGTTTGATGGGAATTGATAGAAATCAGGTAATTTCGAGTGAATACATTAGCAAAATATTGATTAATTGGGAGTATTTTGGTTAGAATATTCATAGTTTTATCGAAAATTCAAGTGATTTAAGGAATTTTTGTATTCCTGCTGCCAAAAAATTGAAATTCCATCATTTTTCTCTTTCTAAATCGAATTAAAATTGAATTCAAGCTCTTTACTTCATTTTATTCTATTTATTCAACGAATTGAATAGAATAAAATGAAGAAAAGTGCTTGAAATGAAATAAAGAAAGAAAAAAAGTGAAAATAAAGAATAAACATAATAGATGGAAATTGAATAAAAAAGAGAAAAAAAGAGTTAAATAAAATTTTTTTAAATCAAGAAACAGTTGAGTAAATATATTCACGAGGTGTCAATTTATTGGAAATGGTTTTGACAATAGAAACACAACAAAATGGATGGAAATTGAATAAAACAAAAAGAACAAATTAAGGAATCAAATTGTTGAAATTTTGAAAAGTAATAATTTCAGGGTGTCCATACCCCCCATGTGAGTAACGAAGAGTTGAAGATCCATTTTGCCCCACCATCTGATAATGAATGAACTAGGAATTACGGTTTCTACTCACATTTCTAGATTATTCCAGGCTTGAAGTTTCTTTGAATCAGTCTTTCACGTGGTTTGGCATCAACGAGGTTGATTACAGTCTTGTGATGATCCTGATTAACAAATCAAAGTTGGAAATTCTAAACGAGAAAGTCATTAAATTAAGTAAAATAAAGAGAATCTATTCTACTCGAATAGTTATTGGGAAAAAATTGAATTCCATTTCATCAAGAAAAATTTAGTTTCATATCATAATTTCACAATTAACGAAGATTTTAGGAATTATCTGAATAATGATTCGTGTCAGGACAAAAAATCAGTATAATTTTTTTGGAAATTGCACTTCCCTATAAAAAAATCAAATATTTTGTCTCAAACCACGAAAAATCGAGGTGATTACACAATTAACGAAATAATGATTTTAAAAGTGTTGACGTAACGTAGGGTGACCAGGCCAATTGCTGGACGGTTAAAGGAAATTCGAGTTTCGTGGTAGGATCTAAAATAAAAGAATCACCTAAATGGGGATATGACGGCGTTTATACCTTCAAGAATGTTTTAATTAGCAGAAAAAAAATATTTGAAGTGAAAATAACAAAACAAAGGTTAATTAAATTGAGAAATAGTTGAATGTAGCCGAAACCCCCAATTTCTGGACGTCTGGGTCATATTTTTTTTCATTTATTAAATGTTGATCAATACAAGAAACAATTGATCACATGATTATATACAAAGGATATTATAGAGACAAAATAATTAATACAATTTTCATTTTATTTGTGAAATATTCAACGCAAGTTAAAATCGTCTTAAACTTACCTCCGTCCAGAAATTGACCTGTTTACCCTAAAATGTTATTCCCCAAAACCTCATTTCCTGATGCTCCAAAAATTCGAAAACAGCCGGCAAAACTGGTCACCCTAACCCCTCGCCCCTCCGAAACCGAAAAAAAAAAACGAATTACTCACATGTCTCCCTGGAGTGACTCCGTCCCAATGTCGGCTATCGTCCAATGACCCCCCGAGCGAGCGACTAATCACCAAAATCCCGTCATCACCTCCTCAATCTCCCGAAAAACCGCAATCCCGTCTCCCGGAATCCCCTCAAAAAACCCTTTTTCGTATTCGTCGCTTGTAGTTGGCCGACTCTCCGTTGGCGTCGCTAAAAATCATTACGTCAATGCAACATTCGATATCTCGAAGAGTGTCTCCGAGGAGGTGTAACAGCCAGTCTCGATACCGTCAGTCCCACCGCCATTGTTTCGCCAACCTTTATCCCTGGGACGTGAATTAACGTGCGCAGAGTTTAATTTACCCCAAATTTTCTCACCTCCGAGGAAAAAATAAAGCCGTGCACACTCGTTATTCCGCGATTTTGTCGGGGTGAAGAGGTGACGTTTCGGTTACAACTCGACAGCCGTGAACGGGAACGATTGGAGTGGGAAGAAGAGGAAGAACGCCTCCGCCAACGTAGCATGTCCACAATGAATCCCGAATAGTGAGTAAATGACTCGAGACTATTTTTCCGAATTAATCCTTCATTTCACTCATCTCTGGATTTTCATTCAGCCCTCGGGGCATTTTCGCGGCTCTGGGGGGGTCTCTGGATCCTCGAGGGGTGACCAATGTCTCTGGGGATTTTTTTTTTGACAATTGTACGACGCAGATAACACGAAAATGCGATGGGAGAAGTGTCGGGAGGTGATTCATTACGTGTCTAGTCACGCGTGTGAATTCTTTTTTATTTCGCTGGATTCATTGAGCAATTGTCTGATTGATTCTTGTTTATTTGGGGGCATTACTCAGGGAGGGGGGTGGGAAGGTTGGGAGACTCGTCCTGGAGTCGAGATGAGTGACAGATTCCGGGGAGAATGTCAATTTCAACGCCCACTTTTTATTTTTCTAGGGGTTTTCTAGGGGGAGGTTTGTGGCTTGAGGGGTTTGTTTGGGGTTTTCTGGGGGTGGGGGCTCGGCTTTGTTCTGGGGTACCCCCCTCTTTTCACTCGTGTACTTGACAACGGAATCCACCAGCTGGTGCCCCGTGCCAACATGTTTCTCGAGGGGGTGGGGTAGGAGTTAGGGAATTTTTTAAGAGAAATTGACTTTAGGGGCGGTTGGAGTAAAATAGACACTTTTGACTTTTTTTTTAAATGTTAATGACGGGTTGAAATGTTGATAAAATTTAACAATTTTTTTTTCCGAGTTTTGAGGCTTTCGCGGCCAATATTATTATAAATTATGATGGATACCGCGTCTAGATTCAACTTTTCGCCAAAACTGAATGGCAATCGAAGAATATTTCAGATTATACACGCCCACCTTAAATTCCCATAAAATGGATTCCATGATCTCATTCTACCGAACTTCCACGAGAATAATAAATGGACTTTTAACGAACTTTTAGCGATTATCTGTTCAAACTTCTCCTGATCGGGGACTCTGGTGTTGGAAAATCGTGTTTACTTCTCCGTTTCGCCGATGACACGTACACAGAGAGTTACATATCCACCATAGGTGTGGATTTTAAAATAAGGACCATTGATCTCGATGGTAAAACAATAAAACTACAGATCTGGGATACAGCTGGCCAGGAGAGATTCAGAACAATAACGAGTTCTTACTACAGAGGTGCACACGGTATTATTGTTGTGTACGACTGTACGGATCAGGACTCATTCAATAATGTTAAGCAGTGGCTGGAGGAGATTGATCGTTACGCGTGTGACAATGTCAATAAGCTGCTGGTCGGCAATAAGTGTGATCTTACTCCTAAGAAAGTCGTTGATTATACAACTGCTAAGGTGAGGAGAATATTCATAAAAAATGAGTGTTTGGTGTTTGAATTCAGGAAACTTTTTTTTTTTAGTTGAGGGTCAAATGGCCCTCAAGGACGTTTGGAGTTGAGGGTCAAATGGTTTCAGGGCCCTTGAGGGTCAATTGACCCTTAGAAAATTTTAGAATCAGTGGTCAAATGATTTTGAGGGTCAAATGACCCTTGAGAACGTTTAGAATTGAGTCAAAATTTTTTGAGGGTGAATTAACCCTTAGAAACGTTCAGAGTTAGTGGTCAAATGGGATTGAGGGTCAAATGACTCATAATAATGTTTGGAGTCCAGACTTAAATGGTTTTGAGGGTCAAACGACCCTTGAGACGGTTTAAAGTTGAGAGGAAAAGATTGCAAGGGTCAGTTGACCCTTAGAAACGTTCAGAGTCAATGGTCAAATGATTTTGAGGGTCAAATGAGCCTTGAGAACGTTTAAAGTTAAGATTAAAATGGTTTTGAGGATAAAGTTTCCCTCGAGGACGTCTGGATTTAAAAGTCAAACGATTTGAGGGTCAAATAACCGTTAAAGACGCTCGGGACTAGGAGTTGAATGGTCTTGAGGGTCAAATCACCCTTAAGAACGCTTGAAGTTGATGGTAAAATGGTCTTGAGGGTCTAACGACGTCTGATCCTTACGATCCTTTAAACCATAGCCCCGAACGTCATTAAAGGTTGTTTAACCCTCAACCAAAACCGAAAAAAAAGTTTCCTGAACTGTAGCACCTCGTTTTTACTAATTAAAAAGGACTGGGAATTGATTTGCATGATTGATAATTAATGATTGATCATGTTGATTTTTTTAAAATTAGGAATATGCAGATCAATTGGGCATTCCCTTCCTGGAGACATCGGCGAAGAACGCCATGAACGTGGAGCAGGCGTTCATGACAATGGCTGCTGAGATAAAAGCCAGAGTTGGCCCTCCCTCGGGTGCTGCCGTCGATCCTGCTAATAAAGTCAAGATTAATCAAGGGCGTGATGTTGATGCACCAAAATCCGGATGCTGCTGAAACTTCCAACTCGTTTACTCCCAATTTAATAACCAAGTGAGTTTATAGAACACAAATTAATTCTTCATGGGTGGAATATCAAATCGACTAATCCCATTTTGTTGATTCATTTGGGATTATCTACTTAATGAGCGATTTTAAGGGTTAATGGAGAGGAAACATTTTTTGCAGGAAATTAAATTTTCTGTGAAAAATGTTTTCTCTAAACTTTTTTTTTTTGAGTTGAGGATTGAGTGATTGTAAGGGTCAAACGACCCTTGAGGACTCTTGGAGAAGAGGGTCAAAGCGTTTTAAAGGGCAAACGATCCTAAGGGGTTTTAAGAATCGTTTGACATAAAAAACTATTTGACCTTGAATTTTAAAGTTAGGGTCATTTGACCCTTGAGACCTTTTAACCCTTTAGGCCTGGAGGTTTTTAAAGGGCATTTGAGAGCAGGGTCGTAAGGGTGAAATGGCCCTTAAGGGTTATTTGACCCTTAAAACAATTTGATCCTCAATTCTAAACGTTCTTAAGGGTCATTTAACCCTCAGAGCCAATTGACCCTCAATCCCAAATGTTCTTAAGGGCCTTTTAACTGTTAAAACCATTTGACCCTCACTCCAAACGTCCTCAAGGGTCATTTCACCTTCAACGAAATACAAAAAAACCACTCCAAAACCACTACAAAATAAATAATTAATGAATTATTTCTGTTTCTCTCTAGAATAACATCGCAATGCGTCATTACCCTGGTGCAGGGTTGAGCAAATCAGCCAACAGGGACACCAGAGCGTTGGTCGATGTATTTGGTTGACAACTACGAAGAAACATAAACCGAAAAAACAAGGCAAAAAATAATAAAAAAAAGCGTGTGAAAAGAATTTTTTTTCCTCCCCCCTGAGGGAGAAAACAATTTTTACAAGTATCCTCCCTCCCACTCATGGACCATCAACCCGAGTTGTACAAAATGCCGAAAAATCGTGAGAGAAAAAAAAATTACAATTTGAAACTGACGAAAAACCGATGATTGAGAATGAGATAAAATCAATTGAGAATGAATTAGACATGAAAATGCGAAGGAACTTGGCATGATCTTCGTTGGATTAGCTGCCTCTCCTACCTTAATAGCCCATCTCCTGAATAATCGATCGTGTTGATAATGATAAAGTAAAAAAAAGGGTGCGAGAGTGATTCGTTTTTCGTATGATAAGATTACATATGAAAGCAAGTAATCTTGTGATTGGATGGAGTAAGTCATGAGAAAATTCATGAAAAAAATTATTTAAAAAAATGAATTGATTATTCAATAAATTAACGGATTCTTCGCTTCATTCCTGGGGTAATTGCGTGGTGAAGTGATGATTATTGCGATTATCTCACGAATAATTGAGTTTAGCGGAAAATGGCAGAAGACCTTTTTCGTGGCGAATTTGATTTCCCACAAAAAACATCTTTTGACATTTTTCTCTAAATGCCATAATTCTCGAGATAATTCCGCCTTCATCATTTCACAACTGATTTTTTAACTCCATTCAATCACAAAATTCATCACAAATGAACTAAGTAAATAATTAATTAATTAAATAAATCGTGTATGATTGTGGAAGACAGGGAGAGAAGGAAAAAATTAACTATTGAAATGAAACAACTGCAAGCACCATTATTTTTAGCCTAATTGTAATATGTATAGATAATTATTCAAACGTGTGGTGGGTAATATCTGTATTCCCCTCCTCCCCCCAAATCGTTGCTTATTATTTCTCCTTTATTTGTTGGTTTAACGCTGGGCAACCGCAGCATATTCAACTTTCAGTGTCCAATAAATGTTTTTTTTAATTGAACAAAAGAGCAATTCTTAATTAAATCTATTAATTATGATCACCTAAAGTTATTACGATGATGTGGGCATGAAGCGAAAAAACCAATGGCCTGTTTTGCTTTTTTAATAAAGAGAAAATGAATGAGAAAAATTGTGGAAATATGTAGTTACAAGTGTTTTTTTTTCATTTATGCAGGGGAGGATTTTCACCTGTAGTTTGCACTCAATATTTATCATTGAGGAGAGGTATTTCATAATTTCTTTGTTTTTCATGTTTCTTTTTTTGAATAAATTTGTTTCTTTATTAGTCAAAATAATGATTGAGTTTGATTTAAAAAAGAATATTGAAAATTTTATACAATTTTGTACGATTCCTGCACCAACTTCCCCTCGAATAATTAAAAATTAACATTTTAACGTGATGAAGGGAATAAGTTTAAATGAAATAACTGAGAAATTCGGTTGAAATCATTTTCACGTCAATATAAAAAATTCATAATTGATAACAGTAATTTGTCACGGTGATTTGAGAAACATGAAGACATATATTGACAAACTTTTTTTCTTGCATGCAGGGGAGGATTTTCACCGGTAGTTTGCACTCAATATTTCATAATTATCATTGAGGAGAGGTATTTAATAATTTTTTCGGTTTTCATGTTTATTCTTTTGAATAAATTTGTTTCTTTATTAGTCAAAATAATGATTGAGTTTGATTTAAAAAAGAATATTGAAAATTTTATACAATTTTGTACGATTCCTGCACCAACTTCCCCTCGAATAATTAAAAATTAACATTTTAACGTGATGAAGGGAATAAGTTTAAATGAAATAACTGAGAAATTCGGTTGAAATCATTTTCACGTCAATATAAAAAATTCATAATTGATAACAGTAATTTGTCACGGTGATTTGAGAAACATGAAGACATATATTGACAAACTTTTTTTCTTGCATGCAGGGGAGGATTTTCACCGGTAGTTTGCACTCAATATTTCATAATTATCATTGAGGAGAGGTATTTAATAATTTTTTCGGTTTTCATGTTTATTCTTTTGAATAAATTTGTTTCTTTATTAGTCAAAATAATGATTGAGTTTGATTTAAAACAAAATATCGAAAATTCTTTACAATTTAGTACGATTTCTGCCCCAATTTCCCCTCGAATAATTATAAATCAACGTTTCAACGTAATGAAAGGAATACATTCAAATGAAATAACTGAGGAATTCGGTTGAAATAATTGTCAGTTCAATATAAAAAATTTATAATTGATCCCAGTGATTTTTCACTGTCATTTGAGCCTCAACTTTAAATGTCCTCAAGAGTCATAAAACCAATGGCCTCTTTTACTTTCTCAATAAAGAGAAAATTGAAAAGAAAAATGATGAAAACAAATATTTACAAATCTTGGGAGATTTTTCACCCATTTCGTTATTTTTTTATTCTTCATGTTTCTTTTTTTGAATAAATTTGTTTCTTTATTAATCAAAATAATTATTGATTTTGATTTAAAGAAAAATATCGAAAATTTTATACAACTTTGTACGACTTCTGCACCAATTTCACCTCGAATAATTAAAAAGTTACGTTTTAACGTAATGAAGAGAAGAAATTCAAATGAAATAATTTTCACATCAATATAAAAAATCTATAATTGATCCCAGTGATATCTCACACTGGCAGAACATCATGTACCACTTTATAAGAAATAAAACTATTCATTACAAATGCGCAATGAATGCACCTCGTTCTATTGCGTCAGTGTGTAATTGGACATTGGGATTCACTGCGTTACGTATTTATACTAGTCAATGGCTACACTTATGCATAATGTATCCTTGAATTACCACGGATTAATTATCATTTGATTAAACGACGCGACCCCTGGTGTCTGCATTTCCACCAAAGCCCTCCAGTATTCACCAAAACTCGAATATTCATCATTTCATTGAGATTAATGAAATGATACTCGAATAGTTAAAATAAATTGATCGATTAATAACTGAAACATATGAGATAAAAACAATAATTCGGTAGAGAATTGAAAAATGCATCAGTATGATGATAATTAAAAACAAATATAGAATATACATTGATCTTGTCGTTAGGGAATTTGTGAAATAAGATGAGTCGATTGATTTTTTCAATTTATTATTTGAATTTTGTAGACTTTTTTTTTCCGTTTCTGCAAAAAAAGTTTTTTGAAATTGTTTAATACTCAGGATTTTTTATTTTTTAGTTGAGGGTCAAACAACCCTTAAGGGTTAAGGGTTGACCCTCAACTCCAAAAGTTCTTCAGGATCATTTGACCGTCAAGACCATTTATACTTCAACCTCAAACTGCTTTAAAGGCCATTTGACCCTTAATCTTGAAAGTTTCTTAAGGGTCATTTAACCCTCAAGACCATTTGCCCCTCAAGACTGAACGTTTTAAAGGGTGCACTTCAACTTTAAACGTCCTTACAGCTCATTTGATTCTCAAGACCATTCGACCCTCAACCCTGAACGTTTTTAAGGGTCAATTGGCCCTCAAGACCATTCGATTGACCCTGAAAAACCTTTGACCCTCAAAGTAACACGCTCTTGAGGGTCTTTTGACCCTCGAATAATTCAACCCTCAACTCTAAACGTCCGCTTGACCCTCAAGACCATTCACCCCTCAACCCTGAACGTTTTTAAGGGTCAATTGACCCTCAAAACTATCCGACCCTCAATTCAAACGTTTTCAAAGGTTCATTTGACCCACATTCGCCCCTCAACCCTGAACGTCTCTAAAGGTCAATTGACCCTCAAAGCCATTTGACCCACAACTAAACAAAAAAGGTCTTCTAAATTATGCTAAACACTCAGAAATTACTTTAAAATAAAAAACCCAAAATTGACTCATCTTATTTGACAATTCCACTAACACTTCGCGTGAAGAAAGAACGAAAAAGTGGATTAAGGCCACGATAACATCATTTTCCCCCTAATCAACCCTCTAAACCACTTCGCTGAGGACTCGGAGTAACTCCGAGCCCGGTGACAGGGGTGTTGCGTCCCCGATGCTGTAACCATAGTCATTTATCTCCATCAACTGGGGACTGATCGTCGGGCTCATGGAAGTCATCATGTTTGATGGTATGCTCTCCTCCAGGAGCTTCTTTGGGCTTGGCGACTGCGCATTCATCGTGTACACGGTTAAATAGCGCCTGGAGATGTCGTTGACACGTGGATCCTCAGTGTTTATCATCAGCGGTTGGCTTTTCTCCTGCAGGAGGCGAGGTAAGTCAACGTACGTCTCCTATTTCGGGAATAAAACACAATGAAAAGATAAATTTTGTATTATTCTTCGGGTGGAGGTCTCCACAAGCTCTCCACAATGTGAAGCGAATGAATAAATAAGTAATAAGTAGACAAATGAAAAATATATAAATTGATTCAACTCGATAATTAATTGATTAATTAATTTGAGAGAGGAATGGTGTCAGTTCTGTATTTTCTGAAATTATTTTAATAACAAATCATTTTAGGGGAAAATGGCAGAAGAATTCTTTTTGGACCGTCAAATTCTCTACAAAAAGTGTTTTATAACTATTTTTTTTAATCCCTCATCATTTAAATAATTGTTTTACTCATTATATCAAAATAATATCAATCGAGTATTAATTTTTTTTTTATTCGACTCTGAATATCTTTCTTAATTTTGCAATTATCTTTGTAAGAAGCAGTTTTGAAAAAAAAAATCTCAAAAAATTTTTTTTGAAGATCGTGAAATTCTCCACAAAATCATCTTTTAACATTCACCCCATCCCTACTGACTCATTAATTAACAAAAAAGTAAAATGAAAATTCCAGGGGATCATAAGTGGAAACTATCCACTGCGTTTCTACAGCTACAGGAGATGGGAAGGAGCGATGGAGGGGGGGAGGTGACACACGTGTTTCCACTAAAGAATGAGAATTCAAAAATCTCCTTATGCAAATATAAAAAAAATCATCGATTTCCCGCAGCAGAATTGACAATAATGCTGTCAACTGCATTTTATTTTCAGATAGTTTCATTCTATTTATTTTCAATTTGGGACGATTGGGTAATATGACCATGAAAAAACGTCCACGTGGCAGTGAATGACGTAATAAATCATCTGGTAAAACGAATAGACGAAATAAATTGAGAATAATGGGAGATAAAAACACTTCAATCATAAGAATGAATGAAAAAAATTGCGATCAATTATTTCTCTTGGGTTTTAAACAACTTGACTCAATGTAAAAAAAACCATTTAAAAAATGGGGATTGAATGGTCAGTGAATGATAAAAGTCAATGATAATGCGGGGTAAAACGGAATGATTGGTGAAAAGGCAGATAAGAGGGGGAAGCATTGAAACGCAGCAGACGAGGGTTTCCAGTATAGTATCCACATGTATTTCAATAATATTTTTAATCAACAATTTCCATATATACTTTTTTTCTTCAAAATAGTTTCACAACACCATTTCTCTAGAGAGCGGATGATATTCTCGGTTTATGTATAATGTCTCCGCCCGTACATCACCTAAGTGAATGACAATACAATGAAATTCTACTTTAATTAAATTCTAGTGTAATAAAGTCTTTTTTTTGTGTTTTCGTTGAGTGGAGGCGCCGCCTGGAAATAAGTTTTTCGGTTTTCGAGAAAAAATGATTAAAAGTACTGGGTTTTCCCATGGTTTTTCGGCAGGAATTGAATTCTCGAAATTGGAGTTTTTATTTTTTTTCGATTATTAGATTTTAGCATTCGTAGATGAAGTTTATACACAATATTTGAAGGAAAATAAATTCTTTCGGATACGCATTTTAAAATGCATTGTCGCTCCCATTTTTTTATAATTGAGGAGTGAAAATTCAGTAGTGAAGCGGTTTCCGGTGATTTTATAATCATTTTGTTATTTAAACTTTCCAGTTCTGAATTTGAATTTCGATATTGAACCGTTAGAAAACATTATGAAAGCCTGAAAATATTAGAAAGTTTACTTTTGGAGAGAGATTAATGAAATAATTTAAAAATTTCAATTTTTTAAAATTACGAGCATTTTCTGTAATATATACAATAATTTATGAACAATCAATTTTCCAGCATAAAAATGATCTGTTGGCAATCGTAACAAATTTATCCATATTCAGAATTTTACCAGAAATCGATTTCATGCCCAAAAAAATGAGTTTTACGAAAGTTTAAACAATTTCAATTATTTATTTATAAACAACGAATGTTTAAAAAATAATAATTTTGTGCAAAATGTCATTTTAATGACACTGAATATTCATGATTTTTTTTCGAATTTTTCTCACGCAATTTAATTGACAAATTTGATGATTGAAAATGGCCTCAGCTGAGTTTTTGAGGAATATCTCAGAATCTAAAAGACACAACGAAATTTTTGTGATGACCATTTTTGTGGAGTGAATTGAGGGCTACAAAAAAGTTTATAACAAAAATTTGTCTATTCTCCTTAGATTCCGCGATATTGATTGAAAACTGGCCAATAGTCAAAATCGACTCAAACGGTTTTACCACTTCGCTACTGAATTATTATTTATTGATCATATTCAAAAAACAATTGTATTTTTCCTTTAAAAAATGAAAAATTTATTTCCTGGGCTGCGCCTCCCCTTCAAAAGTAGGAAATTCTGATGTTGAATTATTCAACGAGAATGAATGCAACAGATCAATATCTCCATATTTTCAAGAAATTCAGCAACAGAATTTACATTTTGTCTCATGTCAGCTAAGGCCGTATTACCCTCTACAAATTCTACGATTAATATCGGATGGCCCAAGATTATTAATGAAATTCTCTCATCATAACCAGAATTATAATCATTCGAAATTGAGACAAGACAATAAAAAAATTGATGATTCCAATCTCACTCTTTCGTTCATTCTTTACATATTCAATTGAAGGGAAAGAAAACTTAGAAAAATATATTTTTCGTCGAAAAAAAAGTTCACTTCGAGCATCAGTCGATGATATCAACATATCAGGACTTCCTTTACACTGTCATTTTATCTATAATCACCTCTGCAAGTATAATACGGGATTGATCGATTTTTGTGAATACAAAATGTCCAAAAAAAATTTTTTTTGTGAGATTTTTGTTTTTTATAGATTTATTGGCACCTTCCAGCCTGGGGGAGATGGCGAAAGTTTTATGAATGTATTTTTCTCATGGAGAAATTCAAGAAATTTTTTTTTATTGGAGTTTGAGGGTCAAACGAACCTCACCGATTTTTAGGATTGTATCCGAGTGATCAGAAAGGGTCATTTCACCCTTAATCCAGAACGTTCTTAAGGGTCGTTTGACCCTAACACCGCCAAATCAAACTTTACAGAATTCAAGAATTTTTTTTTTGGTTTTCGATGAAGGTCAAATGGTCTTGAGGGCCAAACAAACCTTAAAAATGTCTAGGATTGAAGCAGAGTGGTTAGAAAGGATTGTTTGACCCCCGAGACTATTGACCCTCAACTAAAAAACATTGAAAGTATTTGATTTATTTTTAGTTGAGGATTAAATGGATTTAGAGGTCGAATGACCCTTAAGGATGTTTGGAATTGAGGGTCAAATCGTCTTAAGGGTCAAATGACCCTCAAGGATGTTCGGAATTGAATGTCAAATGGTTTTGAAGGTCAAATAACCCGTAAGGTCGTTTGGAATTGAAGGTCAAATGATTTCGACAGTCAAATGACCCTCAAGGGCGCTTAGAATTGAGTGTCAAATAGTTTTGAGGGTCAAATACCCCTAAAGGACGTTTGGAATTGGGTATCAGATAGTCGTAAAGGTCAAACGACCCTTAAAAACGTTAAAAGTCATCTGTCAAGTCGTCTGAAACTGAACTCCCACCTAAAACCAACCAAAAAATTCCCTGAACTCCATAAATGCCTCGCTCCCCCTGACCCCCCTCACAAAAATTTCCCCATCTCCCTGCAACCATCCTCAGAAACCTGATAATAATATCCCTAATCAAGCCCACTATCTCAATTTCTCCCACTCCACAAGAAAATTATCTCAGTCCATAAATTGTCATTCACTTCGAGGTGATGCTTTTATCATTAATTTTCGGTTTAACAAGGCAAACGTAACCCGCACTCACATCGCATCCAGAAACAAGTAGATTCATGAGAACGCTGTTAGACTGTCTGACATTTTTCCCATTAACCCCACCACCACCATCATCCTCCTTGAACTCTTCTCTCCTTCCCTCGAAGACGGTTCGTCCGGGGCCCTCAGGTGGCTGCTGTCCCATCAACTGCTCCAGCAGGAGATTTCCCTGCTGCTTCAGCTCATCAACTTCCTCCTGTTGCGTACTCATGTGGGAATTTAATTCTGATATTGTTGTGCCTCCACCAGTCAGCACTGGGGATAAATCGGTTGGAATTTTACTGGCAGTGATTGGTGCACGCTCTTTTGGCTCTTGCGTCGATCTTATGCGTTTTGTTTCGTTACCAGTGTGCGGTGAATTCGGCCCGTGGTGACGCTTATTCGATGGCCCTGAGGTCAGGCGAATGCAAGGGACATTGGAATATAAATTTTTTGATTATTTTGCCAGGTGAATTCAGGGGTGATGCGGTGAAAAGGGGTGAGTTCGATTTTTTTGGTGGAATTATTTTGATCATTTGCTGTGGAAAAAGTCTTGAGATTTAAAAAAAGAGGAGATTATTGCAATATGAACAGAAATATCGAAACAATAATAGAAATTGTAATTTTGGAATAATAATAATGGAATTATTTTTATGATGAGTGATTTTAGAAATTTTTTAGAAATGATTTGATAAAAAATTGCTCCAACAGAAAAGCTTTTGACGTTGTTCAATTTTTTTGTAAAAAGACGAGATAATTGAAGAATAAATGAAAATTTCAAAAGAATAATGGGAGTAATAATTCTGAGATAACAATGGAATTATTTTCATGATTTGTGATTTTAGAGCAGAAAACATCTGAAACTTGTTGTTAAATTATTCATTGAATCTCCAAACCTCACAATTTTCTCAATCAATTCCACAATTATCCCATTATTGAGTCCTCCGATGAGAAAATATCAAATTATTCTCGTAGAAAAATGAACTCATCCCCTTGTCTCACTCCACCACTGAACCAATTCACAAAGAAAAAATTTCTAGTTTCCTGAACCAACGAGTGATTTTAAGAAACTCATGGTTCTGGAAGGCATATGCCTGCAGCCCCCAAAATCCTGTGAATCGTAAGAGAAAACTTCAAAAGCTCTTACCTCTTCTACACGTCTGTCCCAACACCTGGACAGGATCCACCACGTTCTTCTCCAGCTCCTCCCCGGAACTCTTCAAGAGTTTAGCTAGACTGGAGTCTGCGTAACGCCTGGACATCTCGTCCTCAGCGTCCCTGCGCCCCAAAAGTAATATAAAGATAATTATCGAAGATGATTTCAAGGGAAGTTGGAGAAAATGAAAACAAGATTCATTTAATCGCGATTGTTAAGGGTAAAACCCTTACGACCATTTGACGTTTGACCCTCAACTAAAAATGAAAAAAAAAATTTTTTTGAATTGTCAAATGGTTTGGAGGGTCAAATGGCCCTTAACAAAATTCGGGGTTAAGGGTTGAATGATCTTGAGGGTCAAATGACCCTTAAAAACATTTGGAATTAATAGAAAAATGTTTTGAAGGGTCATACGACCTTGTTGGACGTTTTTAGCTGAGAGTTGAAAGGTGTTGAGGGTCAAATGATTCTCAAAAACGTTCAAGGTTGAGGGTTGAATGGTCTTCAGGGTCAAATGGTTCCCAAGGACATGTAGAGTTTAATGTTAAATGGTATTGAGGGTCAAATGACCCTTAAGAACCTTTTCCATTGAGGGTTTAATGATTTTGAAGGTCAAACAACCCTTAAGGACGTTTGGAATTGAGAGTCAAATGGTATCGAGGGTCAAATGACCCTCAAAAACGTTCAGGGTTGAGGGTTGAATGATCTTGAGGGTCAAATGACCCTTAAAGACATTTGGAATTGATAGGAGAATGTTTTCAAGGGTCATACAACCTTGTCGGACGTTTTTAGCTGAGGGTTAAAAAATTTTGAGGGTCAAATGATCCTCAAAAACGTTCAGGGTTGAGGGTTAAATGGTCCTGAGGATCAAACAACCCCTAAGAACGTTTACTCTGTCAAGAATTTAATAATCTTGAGGGTCTAACGACCTCAAGGACGTCAAAAGTCAAGAGTCAAATCGTCTTAAGGTTGACCCTCAGCTAAAAACAGACAAAATTCCCCTGAATTACATCAATTCGTCATTCTTTCCGATCAAAAACCTGATAACCCTCCGATCGTCATTTTACCACGTTTCCCTAGTCATTTGAAGAATGACGACTAAATGATTGTTTTCACTTTTTCCATCATCCCTTGAAATCCTCTCGGATATTAAACACCAATGGAGATGAACAAGAACATTAATAATGAAAAAACAGTAAATTACCATTTGATCTTCTTGTTCGTCCCCTGTGTAGGTCCCCACATGACCATGTCGTCACTAATCAACAGTTGAAGCGCCTCGTCCTGATCAGACATTGGTATGTACGGTGCCCTCAACGCAAGTTCCTCATCAGCAATGACATCGTTGATACTCAGCATCAACATGTCGTCCTCTGATATTGCCGATCCCAGGGGTGTGCTGTCATCCCCAGGACTGCGTAGCGATGAGTCTTGACTCTGTGAGCCTGGACTGCTCCCAAGAACAGGAGTTAAAAGTCCAGAATTTGATTTTTGAATGGAGCCAGGACTCGGCGATGTGTCTTTGTAGAAAAAGGGATCTGTGTCGCCTATCGATGTCTCCAGGGGCTCCACCAGGCTCTCTGGGGACTTGTCGGAGTCGTCTGAGAGCTCTGAACCACTCGGCAACTCGGGGGGGAGGGATGGACTCAGCAGGGGACAGTAGACCTCGTTACCGAGGATAAATTCGTCCAGCATGTCTGAGAGGAATGGAGTGTCTTCCAGGGGGACGCAAACGTCACCTGGGGTTGGGGCCAAGTGCGTGAGGTCCTCTGGTTCGTCTTTCAACACTGTTGAGGGAGAAATTATTAATTTTTTTTTTCCCGAAAATTGTTGGCTGGAATTTCCCGCAAACTTCTTGGAATTTGGAATTAAAAAATTAAATCAATTGAAAAAGAAAATGAAGGAATTGAAGAGATTATTTGAATATTATTTTTTAATATTTAAAAATTAATTTTTCAATTAATATAATTTTTCAATAATTGAATAATAATAATAACTAATAATTTTTTTATTTGGAATTTAAAATTTGAAATTGACAATTTAATTTTTTTATGGAATCACTTTTTCAATTTTTATTTAATTTTATTAGCGGTATTAGTGATTTTAAAGCATTTGAAATCTTCAACTTTTGACAATCTTATCAAATTCTGAAGTTTTCAAATGGAAGATTAATCATTTAAGGGTATCCAAGTATTATTTATAGTTTGGTACAGACCACACTATAGATTCAACCATTTTCAATCATTAAATTTGTTAATTTTAAATTGCGTGAGAAAAAAATGAAAAAACATAAATATTTAGAATCGTTAAAATTACATTTTGCGCAAAATTATCATTTTTTTAAACATTCGTTTTTTATAAATCAACAATTGAAATTGTTTAAACTTTCGGAAATCTTATATATTTTTGGTAAAATTCTGAATATGAATAAATTTGTTATCATTCCAAACAACAGATTTTTATGGTGAAAAAATTGATCGCAATTTTGACTCATAAAAGACAATGTCAAGAGCAATATTTCTGAACCATCAAATCCTCCGTAAAATTCTTTCTTTTCTTTCTCAAAATAATTTAATTTGCAAACAAAATTGAATGTTAATTTGAAAAAATTTAATGTTGAAATTCTAATTATTTTTCATCATTTTAATATTAAAAATTGTCATTCTTACTCGTCAAGCCCGGTTGATCCTCACTGAATATGAGGAAGCCCGTGTTCATCTCCTCGGTACGAGGAGCAAAGATACTGGCTGTCGCTGTTTGCGGTGGTGGTCTGCAATTTCCTGTAATCACCTGATTATCCTGACCAGCTGACAATGAGTTCCTGGTGGCTGCTTGTGAACGAGTGAGGGCGCGGTGCCGTGAGGGATCGTAATCGACCACTGGTTTCTCCTAATAAATGGTTCAAGAAGTGGGGAATCAATACAAATCGGGAGAAAATGTATAGGGGAGAAAGTGATGACTCTTCAGGAACATCCGGTGGTGAATCCGTGTATTATCATTAATCAAATTCATATTTTTTATTCGATTTAGCTCTAAAATTCTCTCAATGATGCGGATTTTTTATTTTTTATGGATTTTCTTCTCATTTTATTTAAGATTTTAATTTTGATTTAGATTCTGATTTTCATTTTATTCAAAGTTTTATTTTTATAAGACTATCCAAAATTATTGAGATAATAATCAATATTTCAGTGAATTAAATTAATGAATAAAAAATATCGAATGAATTGAATTGAACTATTACAATAATTCTAAATTTATCCTTGAAGTGAAAGAAATTTTAAAAAATTTCTTGTCATTACTGTTGTTTTTTATCTCACAAAATTATCAAAATAAAAATGAATAATTGAATAAATAAAACTAATAAAAAATGAATCAATGAATTGACGAATAGAAAAAAATTCAAATTCAAATTAAATAAATTATTCGATTAATTACAACTTTAATGTCGAGACGAGAGAATTTCCAAAATTTTCCCACTATTGTCACACAAATATACCTGGAACAACCAAGGGGATCGTTTTCCCTTGCGCTCGCCGGCGATATCGTTGATCCTCGGGACCCCCTTCCCCTCGTCGGGGTCGAGATCTTTGAAAAGAGATGCTGTAACAGCCTGAGGTCTTGTGCGTTTGACAGGAATGATGGGCTCGACCTCCACTGGAATTTTTTCCGTCTCGATGGGGGCTAGCACTGGGGGGGACAGTAGAATATCTTCCCCCTCGGATTTTGAGGATTTTTCTAGCTTCTCGTCAGCGCTGCGCGCTTCCAACTGGCGCACACTGTACACCTCATCTTTGCATTCGACTCCACTGAAAAAAATAAATACAATTTTCCTCTTGTTCTTTTGATTCTCCGGGGTTCCGATGCGACATTGGCAAATGAATAATTTTCATTATTCATCTTTTGTTATTATATTATACTAGTGATTGATGAGTGAAATATTCAGATTATTTTTGTAGTCAATACAGGAATAAAATTAACTGATTGTATAATGTCTGGGTTTTGAGGCTTCAATGGCTTCAATTTTCAGTATTTACTCCATTTAATCGTAACCTTCAGGATTAAATCCTTATATAATAAATTTGCTTGGGGTTCGATGAAAATATTGACGATCAATATTATCTACTATTCGAGAAACTGAAAGATTCCAGATGTCAATCATCACAAATACAACTTCAATAGATAATTAATTTACTGATTGATCATCAGTTCATCAACAAAGTTGCAAAAAAAGAAAAAAATTGATTTCCACTTCGAGTTTTTTCAAAATATCTCCCAATTTAAAGGAGATATCGAAATTTTCCTTTAAACCTTTTCTGTTAATATTATCCTGATCTACAAAAAACGTTTTTACAAAAATTTCGCTATCCCAATTATTCCCCGAGATATTCCCCAAAATAGCTGCAAGATTAATCCAAATTTTTCTCTTTTCCCTTCTGCGAAATTTTAACTGCGAATGCAATAGCGAATTAAATCCGCACATCACGACTATTTTTACCCAAGCTCCCATGTACATATTTACATAAAATAACATTTTTTAGGATTAATTGCAAAAAGAGAAAAAAAATTGATTTCTACTTTTCGTTTTCGCAAAATATCTCCCAATTTAAAGGAGATATCTAAATTTTTATTTAAACCATTATTGTTAATATTTTCCTGATCTACAAAAAATGTCTCCACAAAAATTTCGCTATCCCAATTATTCCCCGAGATATTCCCCAAAATAGCTGCAAGATTAATCCAAATTTTTCTCTTTTCCCTTCTGCGAAATTTTAACTGCGAATGCAATAGCGAATTAAATCCGCACATCACGACTATTTTTACCCAAGCTCCCATGTACATATTTACATAAAATAACATTTTTTAGGATTAATTGCAAAAAGAGAAAAAAAATTGATTTCTACTTTTCGTTTTCGCAAAATATCTCCCAATTTAAAGGAGATATCTAAATTTTTATTTAAACCATTATTGTTAATATTTTCCTGATCTACAAAAAATGTCTTCACAAAAATTTCGCTATCCCAATTATTCCCCGAGATATTCCCCAAAATAGCTGCAAGATTAATCCAAATTTTTCTCTTTTCCCTTCTGCGAAATTTTAACTGCGAATGCAATAGCGAATTAAATCCACACATCACGACTATTTTTACCCAATCACCCATGTACATATGTACATAAAATAACATTACAGCAACAGTTGAGTATAAAATCGTTCGTTTGCCAATAGGTATCGATTAATTCAGCTCCTGGCTGTTGCATTCAATCCCCAGCAACGTAATATCAGGCCCAATTGTACGAGCTTTGTTACTGCACAATGAAGTGGAATATAACATATCGTTGCACAGTGCAGCAACGACATGTGCAGTAATCGAGTCGTCGGTGATTTGTTCAATGAATACTGAATGATCAGTTCGATGAGAGGCAGTTGCAATCGAGACATCATCTGCACTTATCTATCATTCGACACGATTTTTCCTTTCTTTTCGGTCAATTTGTGGTATTTCTAGCGTCGATTGCATGTTATTTGCTGTTCAGCGCTTCAACTTTGTACGATTCCAATAAATATGTTACGTACGCGAGAACGACCCTCGAACTACTCTCTCCTAATCTTATCAGAACTCTTTATCTGTCTCTGAATTAAATAAATTTCTGGTGACTCGAGAGGGTATTTGCTTGTTGAAACAACATCGAGGGGTTATTGACGATGTATATGGCGAGACTATCTGGAGTTACGAGGGTTGATAAGGATGGGGGGAGGGGAGGATTTTTTAAACTGGTTTCTGGGGACGGGACGCACCCAGAGGAATCGTTCATTTCAACTGTGCAGAGGAGGAAGTTTTGATTTTTCAGGAATGGGTCACTGATTTCCTCGGACATATCACTGATTTTTGGGTGATTGATGATACTGGATACTGACGGGCATAATCCTGCTCATCAGTTATTTTTAACACTAGAATTTCGTGGCGAATTGGTAAAACGGTTCAAGCCGATTTTCACTAAGGATCAGTTTTTAATGAATATCTCGGAATCCAAGGCAAATAACTGAATTTTTGTTATGACCTTTTTTATAGAGCCAATTGAGGGCTATAAAAAAGGTTATGATGAAGAATACGTTATCTCCCTTAGATTCGGAGATATTCTTCGAAAACTTAGTGAAGAGCTAAGTCGACGTTCCACCGATTCGCTACTGAATTTGGTGATTTTTGAGAATGAGAGATGAATCCCTGAAAATCAGTTATATTTTCCTGAAAATTATTGACAATGTCCCGACAAATTAGTGATAATATCCCTAAAAATTTGACTAAGAATCTCACAATCAGCGAGAAAAACAAGTTTTGATTTTCAGGAATATGTTTCATTTTCAAAAATACGCGGGAGTTAACAGGAGTGGGGGTCGCCATCTTGTTTACTCCCTCCCTCTGCCGGGAGTGGCTCTAAACATGGCGGCGCCCCCACCTCGTATTTTCAAATATTTTTTAAAATTATTCATCCCCTTCAGAACACCCTCAAACCGCGTCATCCGGTTCCTATAACGGGAACAAACTTTTAAAGTCATCTTTTAGTTTTTCTCAGTCCCTTTTGGCTGAGAATTCATGACGCAAAGTTGTCCCCGCGTTTCAGTAGTTTTTTTTACCCTCGAGGACTCTTAAGTATAAAAATAATCCTCTTTTTCTTCCAACAAAAAAAAATTGAGAGAGAATCGATTGTTCAAAACGTCATCAAACAGTCATTGATCAACAAATAATTGAGAAAAACCCGTCGAGATTTGTCGACACGTCAGACGTGTCGTAACACAAGGCTGCAAAATGTCATTGAACATCTCTTGAGCATTGAGACAATGCAGTGCTGAAGAACCAGCATTAAGAACAAAAAATAAGTGTTTCTGTTTGTGACAGATGAACGCTATAATGATGGTGGGGATTGGGTAGGGGTTAGAGCAGGTTAAATATGTAGCGGGTGTCGTTATAAATAGAACTTGACGGCCGCGATGAATTTTCCCTTGCGCAATCGAGCACGTGCAAAATAGAGTAAATAGTGAGATATCCATCGGGCAAATGTTATTCCCTTTGAACACTGACCACTATCATCAACTGTTGAATTTTCATTGATCCAAATTCTAGGCTACGTCTCCACGAATACAACGTAAATAATTAATTAATGAATCGGATTGTCAATTAATTAATGAATTAATTGATTATTTATTCAGATGAGAGAATCGATTTTACGACAGATCAAATTCGTTTTTTTTTGGAAATATCTTGGAATAACATAGAAAAATTGTTATGGAGAATTTTTTTGTGGAGACAATCGAGAGCTGCGAGAAAGTTATTAATTCGTTAAAACAACGCTGTTAATCCCATTTTATCACTTCATCAATTAATTAATTGTCAATAGCATATATTTTTGATAAATTGTTTAAAAAATCATCTCTATGATCTGTTTGCTTTCAAAATCCATAAAAAAATTATTTAAATAATCGTGTTTATTTTCACTTTATCCTCAAAAATCCCAAAAAGGCATTGAGACTCAAAAAATACTTGAAAAAACTTCAAACAAGTTCCTTCACCCAATTAAATCTATCAATGACACAAAAAATTGTTGAAAAATTATTCTCATTCTCTATTTATTCTCAATAATCCCAAAAAGTCATTGAGACCCATAAAAATACTTCAAACAGAGTTCCCTCACCCAATTGAATCCATAACTGCCCCAAAAACTTCATTCGCAATTATTTATCGCCTCATAAACCCTCACAATATTATTATTAAAAACACTTCCCGCAGTTCTGCAGACGTGAGAAACAAAATATTAAGCCCAGTACGTATTTATACAGCAGTAGTAAGCCCACGTGCATTACAAGTTCGAGATGCTTCAAGATAATTTTGATGTGAATTTACTGCTGTGCTGAGAGTAGCCCCGGACTCGATTGAGATAATAGGAACGGAGCAGGGGGCGATTTTCTTTAATTTTAGGAGGTAGGTGGCATCTGATGAATTGCGCGGGGCTGAGGGAGATGATGAGACGAAAAAATTGAGGGAGGGAGAGACAATCGGGGCTTTGGACTCTCGATGGGAGACTCGTAATATTGCATTTGTCGTCAACGACGAGCCAACGTGCTACAATTTTATCATCTGTTTGACGCTTCAGCCTGTTGTTGACGTATTTTTATGCCCAATGGGCTCATTTATTTATTCGTTTCGGTGGGATGCTGGGAGAATCTAGGGGTAGAAATATTTTCAAGTCGTGAGCAAACTCGTGTGTAGCTGAAAAAATTTTACTATTCATTTTCAGGAAAGTTTCAGGGATTCGTCTCTCATTTTTAGGAAAATGTCACAGATTTTTAGGGATTCATTTCCAATTTTTAGAAATTCATCACCAAATTTCAGGGATAAAAATCACTGATGATCAGGGTTATTCCAGTCAATGTTCACTATCACCAAATAATCGATTATAGACTTATAAAAATTAGTGACGTATCCATAGGGATCAGTGGTATGCCCCTGAAAATCAGTGACATGTTCCTGAAATTCAAAACTTTTTTTTCCTGTGATTGTGAAATGCTCTGAGTTTCATCCCCAATTTTTAATGACATTATCATTAATTTCCCCTGAAATCATCACTAATTTTCAGGAAAATGTCACTGATTTTCAGGGATTCATTTCCAATTTTTAGAAATTTATCACCAAATTTCAGGGATGAAAATCACTGATGATTAGAGTTATTCCAGCCAGTGTTCAATATCACCATTATAAAAATTAGTGACGTGTCCGGAGGGATCAGTGACATGTTCCTGAAAATCAGAACTTTT